AGAGCTGTCTTCTATTAGATATTTATACAGCACCTAGCACTGTGGGTTCCCAATCTCAGCTGGGGTCTCTAGGCACTGCTATGATAAAAATAGTGCACACATTAATAATTGATGTAATTTTCCTTGTGTTAGCAGATGTGGATTGGTTATGCAGGAAGTCATTAGGAGCAGCCAAGAAACAATGTACTCTTAAAAGTTCACCGTGACTATGGAAATGAATAGCTTTCCAATGATGTTTTCAAGAGCAGCTCTTATCTCTGTGAGTGAATAGCAATCACCTCTGTTTATATAGAGATCTAAAATAACAACAAATCCGGTAAATGTTATGTATTATTTCCTATATTCACCCAGGCTTTTATCAAATTGTTTGTTTGGTTAGGTAAATAGGCAGGGTGAGGTTTGTATTTATAAATGGGAAAAGTGCTATTTCAGATGAGTCAACAATACAAGAGATTCTAGCTATGGGCTAAAATATTGCATTTTGTTGACATGAACCTGGTGAAGGATTGATGACTGAGGTCAACTAATCTTGGAAACTAGAAAACCTAGCCCTAATCTCTCTGTTATGGCTCCTCAGACTGCCTAATACCATACTTCAGATTATAAAGGGTTACTGCATATGTTACTGCTTCTTTGATACAAACAATTCTTTAAAAATATATATATTGTAATTCATAATGTATGATAATAGTGCTGTCATGTGAAGGCACTGGAAGCTTTTAAGCATGTTCTTCTTTACCTTCTGGCTTTAGCTATGACAGCCATGGCTCTCATGTTAATGAGCAGGCCAGACAATTGTTATTTATTTTTAGCCTTTTCTGGACAGGTATAATTGGATAAGGTTTAAATGCTGAGTAAAGTTACTGTGTAAATATTAAACACTTGAAGTATGTCAGCCACATACCATTAACAATGTAACCCATTCAAGTGGAAGACTAACAAATAGAGAACACTATCAATTAGTTTATTACCAGTCGCTGGTGAAGTAGGACTCTGAGGGTTTGGGCTTGAAAAGGCATCTGAGCATGGACAAGGAAACAAGAAAAGTATATTAAAATGTAGCAGAGGTCAGGCAAATTCTGGAGTCCCCAAACTAGGTTACCGTTCAGGCTGTCACTGAGATGCAGTATCCTATTTGTGTGTTCAGAGGCATACATGATTATGGCTCCTGGGGGTAAGAAAATAAGTCCTAGTGGGAGAGTTTTGGGGAATAGGAAAATAGTTCAGGTAGAAACATGGGATAGGGGATTTGGATGAGAGGGAAGACTTGTGGCTAGAGACTGACAAAGAAGAAAGATTTTGGGAGGATGAGAATGGGATAAGAGGGGGGACAGTTTGGGATGAGGCATGTGATTGCAGAAAATATATCAACCTACCTCTGCCACCTTGTCTTGGGTCCTTACCTTTTCTCCTCAATTTCTCATTTGCCACCTATGTGCCAGGCCCTCCTTTAGTGATCATGCTGGGCTGCTGGGAGAAAGTCTGAGGTACAGCCTATAGTCACAAAGGGCACAGCAATGGATAGAGAGGAAGACAGGATGGCCAGTGGGGAAAGTGTCAGGTAGCAGCTGGTCCCAAGTTCTGACTTTGTAAGTAATCAAGGTCTTGTGTCCTAGCATATTATAACAATATATATGTGGCAGGGACTGTTATTTATATTGCCACCAAAAATCCTTTCTTCTTCCCCATCCAATCTGTGTAGGACTCACTATTATTTGATACTTAATTCAATACATTTCTCTGAAATGTAATGTTTGCTGAACTCCAAATTTTCATACTATGAAGCTAGACCTGCATAGTGGATGCTGTTCACAGAGGAATAGGGGATTGGCAGCAGGGCAGGCAACAGTCTGGGCCAGTGTATATTCATTTTTGTTTCCAAGCAGATGAGGTTTCTGGTTTTTTGGTGAGGGAGGATTACTCATTTCCTCCCTGTTCTGTACATGGGTAATGCCAACTTCACATTTTGGTGTGAAGGATTTTCTCATTTCCACCCCCAACTGACAGGGGCTTCTTTCTAGTTACTGCCAACTTGTGTTCCTGAATCTAAGCTGTTGTTAAAAAAGAAGTATGTCTCCACTGCTTATTTATCAGGAAAAGTGAAGGCAATGTAACCAATGTGTTGATGTCTGCCTGAGTTTTCATACAGCCTTTACCATTAGTGGGGAGATGTGTGAACTATTGCATTTAGGAGTTTAAAATTGTGAAGTTGGATGATGACAACACAAATGTTTTTATTGTGAACATACACAAAGAGCACAGCTTGGTTTGCAGGTAAAATCTGGCACAATATTATTACCTGCCTCTGCTTGCTCCACAGTGTCCTGTCCCAGTATCTGCAATTATTTACCGCAGTGAATAAGTGTATCAAGCTGATGTGTTAACTGAAGTGGCCAGCAGTGTAGCAGTGAACACTGAACTATCTTCATACATTACCATCCAATTAAACAGCACTGAGATTAGATGAATGGGAGCAATGCACATTTCTCTCAAAGCAATGAAATTCAGGCGGTCTGCAGATACAGGTAAACAAACATGCATTCATATATTCATTCACATTTTGAAGCTCATCTTTATAACCGTAAAGGCTGCCTGACTTGATATTTTAAAATTAAAGTTCAGATTTTGCAGCAAGACTATGCACCCATTTAATTGGTGCCATAACTATGTTGTACAAATCAAGCTTGAGAGCACAGTAAAGTCAGGGATCGGAAGAGGGAAATACAAAAGTCAAAGGGAATAGATAGAGGCAGTGGGAAGAGACTACCAGGCCTCATCTGGCCATCTTTGTTAAAATCAGGGGTAATCCCCACTTCCCTTCAAAACAACAGGGAATGCCCCTTTAACTTGGAACAACTTGAAGAAACACAAAGATATGTGATCACCCTATGCATATAGCATCAAATGTATTACTCCTTAAAGGAGAGGACTGTATGACATCAGGTTTTTGTTAATGTGCGGACCTGACAAAGCAGTCAGCTCCCCCAGATGGTTTGTTTCTGTGGTCCATTTTATTCTTCTTATTTTATACAACTATGCTCAGTTCCTGCCAGATTTTTCTACTAAATATGACTTTGTTTCAACACTTTTGTTGGGCAAATTACATTAGGGTGGATGCCGCAGGTATCCATTAAGGTTTATTTATCGGGATACTGTTTGGATCTCACACTTATAAATAACTTATGTTATGGCTTTTGTTTGTAGAAATGTAACTTACATATTTTATTACGCTTTCTGTAAACCTCAAAAAGAATGTTGTCAAAGAAGCACTCTTAACAGCAATCTAAACTCAGGTACATAAAATCTACACTAACATTATTTTTTAATATGGCAAGGAAGCATGTTATCCCTCTACAGTTTGAAAGGTTTGCTGTCACCATAAACTCACACTACAATAAAACATTAAAAAGTCTAAGGAATTATTTTATAAAGTGTACATACACCAGTGGCTGAGTTTCTCCAAAGCTTTCTTATGCAAGCAGGACAAAATATTAAAACTTTGTATTTTCCTTGGAGAGCTTTGTCTGCCTCTCTCAGTCAAATACAATACAACCTATGCTAGGCTACTTTAAGGGATAGTTTATTTCCCTTTTTGGGGAAAAAGCTTGACTGGGATTTCTTTAGATGACTGCTAGTTTTGCACTCTGGCTATAAAACATACATTTTGGAGAGAATCAGATCTATATTCAAGTCCTGATCTGTTTATTTTAAAACAAGCGGTTGGATTCCCAAAGATCTCTTGAGAGGAAACCATCCTGGTAATTTTTCCGACCATTATGGAAGCTTAAACCTGGTCTTCCCAATGACATTATTCTCCATTGTTTTCACAACTTTCTCTTTTTAAAAAGCAGGTAGGTGGGAATTAAAGAACTCAGGGGGTAGAGGGAGAATACAACAATTACATGTATTTTGTAAATAGGTAAAGAAAAAAGAAAAGGTTAAATTCTGGCTATACCTGCACTTTGACAGGGTCCTTTTGAAAAATTGAAAGTAAGACCCTTAAGAAAAAAGCTGGAGCCATAAAATATGAGCTCTATTTGCCATGCTATCCATTTCCAAACCTAAAAGCAGGCCTGTTTATATGGCTATCTACTCTAAATAAGTTCTGGTTGTCAATTGTTAACCAAGGCTGAAATGCTGTTCAAATATGTATATCGAGTCTGTCCAGTTTACAGGACTTTCCTTAGGATTTTCTTTGTTTGTAAGTTATAACAATGTTTGTGCTATAAGTGAACTTTCAAAAATACACTTCAATACTCCAGGGAGTCACTAGCCTTCTATTAGAGGAAGCCCTAAAACCTGATTGCTGAGTTATGAGGACGCACAGTGCTTCTGTTCAATATGCCAAACTTAAGCTTTCAGCAGAGCAGCTAATTTAACCAGTACACTGACTGATCTGTGGACACAAACTTATTGTAGGCAACCAATATTTATTTCCTCAGTATGAAAAAGAAAACCAGAGAGTCAAAGAAATCATTAGTTTTCATCTGAACCTTTTAATGCAAATATACAGCCTCCAGGGAACTGATGTAGTTTATACAGCAAAACTGCCAAAAAAAAGGTGCATGTGTGTGTGTGTTGGTGGGGGGGGAGTAAGAACCATATTACACAGAGTGGTGGGGGGAAGGGAAGCAGAGGACAAGTTGCGGGTGAGGAGAAAGGAGAGGAAGACCTCTATGCTGTTTGAAGTAGCTCACGTTTTGCAGCTTTCAGGCTGTGGCTTAATAATGGAGATTCCAGGTTCTTTTAAGGACTGAAAAGAAAGGTGACTTGACAGTTGCTAGATATGACTAAGCAGTAATAATGATCAGCACTTTGGACAAAATTCTCAAACCTGGGCAACTAAAATTGAGTTCCTAGTCAACATTAAATAATTACATTATGCTTAAATAAAAGTGGCCTAATTCTGAAAGGTGCTGAGCATCCACAGCTTTTAGTAACCACAGTTGGAGTGTTTTGAGTATTCACAGGCCCTTAAACTGCAGGTTATAATATTTTTCTCAGCTAAGCTTAGAAGTAGGAAAGTAGAAAACTTCTTAACTGATTCCCTCTTATACTGAGTTCTTGTAATTTAAAAATTTGTGGAAAAATCTATGAAATCACACAGGAAAAATAGGTAAGTGTCTACCAGAAATTCTGATTTGAATCTCTTCTTCTACCTGCAATGACCATCTCATATTTTTATCCAGAAAGTGGGAAATGTGTTACCAAGTTATGCAAATATACAAAAGCATGATAAACACATGAAATAGATTATTTACATCTCAGTAAAAAAGACAGCAGCAATTTCTAATTGCACATAATAGCTTTTGTACATTATGAACTAATTGACTTATTGCTTAAATAGTTCAATTTTTGTTAAACCTCATTCCAATTAATTTGCGTATTTCATCAACCCACACAATAATTCATACCCACCACACAATGGAAATTAATTGTTCTACATGAACTCAGAGTGGATAACATTAAGTGTAAGCCTTACAGTACAAAAGGAATTTTGTTTTGGCACGTATTGAACTCTTTACGATCCCTGAATAGGAGAAGATGAATCTGCTGAGTTTTCTATTTTAGATGCATCTTTTCATCTTCATTGTGCCACATACCACTCTAAATATGGGATATAAGTCTTTGTAACTATCTGCTTTCTTTTTCCAGTGGCAGATGATTTAATTCTTTTAAAGAAACGTCTTAACATTTAACAGCTGTAGTATTTGTCTTTTTTTCTGGAATAAACTCACTTGGACATGTACATCTGTGAAATGAAAATATTTCCTGTATCTCATGAAAGGTGGCAGTACTACCTTTAATTTTATAATATGTAATATTTCAGATTTCTAACACACAGTCTTAGGGTTTAATTTTTATTCTTTTAGTTGTCATTGTTCTTTTCACTGGGAATGAAGTCTACATATACATGCAGTCGTTTTGTAGAAAAATATATGTTTTTTATTAATTCAAAGGAATTCATATAGAAATTATACTGCTTTCCACCTCTGTTTTGATCAAGGTGAACTGAGTGAAAGCGAGCTTGGATTTTTTGTTTATGTTCAAGGACGTTTACTATTTTGTGTGGAACTGAGAATCATCAACTAATACAAGCTTAAAAGCAACATGCATTTATTATGTTCTTTGGTTAAGTATTGTTTTTACACCAATTTTGTAAATGTAAAAGAACCAGGGATAATAAATTTTGATATGAAAGGCTGAAAATGTTTTTTTAAGCTAAGACTGATTTTACATTGTCTTCACTATAATAAATTCTTATATTTAGGCCAGAAATATAAAAAGGCAGAAGCTTTTTTTAAAAAAATAGTTTCTATAAGAGTCAAAATCTACTAACAATATGGCCAAATCCAAAACTCTAAGAGTCTCTTTTCTAATTAGTGCTCTGGTACCCAAAGTCAGTGTCAGCTCATCATATCTAAACTGCTTGGTTCTGTGGCCCCTTCGTTGCGTAGCGCTTCTGCCATGTCTCTTCGAAAGACTGACATGTTCTGGGTGAATCTAAGCAAAAGAAAACCCAAAATGCTTAGTTAAACCAAACTGAGTACTTGTGAATTTATTTACATATAAACAATACGAGAAAATAAAATGAATAAAATGAAAAATTAAAGCCAAACAATTTAAAAGTAGGAAAAATGCTCACCTTTATGTGCCATGTTAATTACCCTTAAAACAGTGACTTCCCAACACATTAAAAACACCATATCTGAACAACATACAAATTCAGTCTAGCATAAAAGAAACATCTTATTTGGTAACAAGCCATCTCAGCCAGCTAAGAAACAGGAACGTCTATTTCTACCCTACGGTGCCTCTAAGAACAGGCCTCAAAAAAAAGCCCCGATGGATGGCCTTCTGCAACATGTCTAGAAGGTCATCAAATTCAAGTCATTTTAGGCCTGTTATTCTTTCTAGGGAGTGATGGTGAAGTACAACCTGTCTCTCGTGAAGTGGGAAACAATTATAGTTCTGGCACAGACCAAATTCTCTGCATTATCAGTGTAGGTAGAACATTCTCTTTTACTGTATGTTGGCAAGTGTAAGACAGTGGGAGAATAATTGGAATCTCACATATTATACCTTTTTTTTAAATATAAAAATAAGGCAGGTCCTTCTGATCCTGATTTGTTTAAATAAATCATGGGAGACGGGGTGAATATACAGAATACAATTTTTAGGGGTCCAAAAATTTGTTAGGGATAGCCCATAATATTTCAGCACTATCACACCTGAATCTGGATCCTAGCTGAGTCCTGTCCCAATGATAACCCAAACATGATCCAGATTTGACCTATTCCTTAGTCCATCCTTAGCTAAAACATAGCATTTCCCTGCCATTTATCATGTCAGACATCCATTTCCAGTAACAAAAATGTACTTTACTTCTCATTTAAAATGGTAGGCATATTTCTGCCTAAGATTAGCAGCTTCTTCCTTTTTATTTTAATGCTGCACCTGTTGCAGCCATTATGCTCTTTTGCTTTTAGTTGGTCAGGTTTTACAGGCTCAGTAAAGACAAGTCAAGACAACACATGTGAAAGAACAACACTTGTGAATTACAGCTAATGGCTCATTTCTGTAGAGGGATGTGTGTGGACTGATGTAAGAGATCCAAAGCAGGATTGTAGGCTGGTGTAGGAGATCCAAAGCAGGTCTAAGGATTTCCCCCACGAGGTCCCTCTGAAGGATGGGGCTGGTATGTCTTCCTGTTCAGGCTCTGCAGCTCATTGCAGGCTGCATACATCAGCTGTGTGATAAGCTGGTGTTGGTATGGGTGATCACACAGTGTGGGAATACAGGATGCAATTAAGCTGTTTGTGTGTGTAATTTTCTTTTTTTACTTTTGTGCTATTTCATTGCTAATGAGAATTGATTTCTGCTCAGTTTAGACATTTAGAATTAAACACAAATCTATCAAAAAAGACTTTCCCAGGGAGTTACAAAGCACTTAAAAGAGCCCAAAATAAACCTCAGCTCTTTTAGTCTTTTAAAATATTAAAAATAAACATAAAAATATGCAGGTATGAGAGATTACTTCTTGATAATGTGGTTGCTTAAAAACCTTTCCAAGCTAGCTAGATGCTGCTGCTGTGAAAAAGAGTTTTTTTTATTTGATGTGCTATTTTCTGGGAACTCTTCTAAATAATACCTGCTTGCACAGCTCTAGACGGCTATATACTTAGCTCTAATCCTAGTACCTCTAGGGGGGTGTCCCCAAACGACTCCTCAACATTCCTAATGTTAGAATATTACACAGATTATAGATACAAAAGGCTTTCAGAAATGTGTATGTCTGAATTTAATGTTTGTGGCTGTGTGACTAAGTGCACTTGGACTGAAGTCTTTTTTCTGATCTCAGAATAGAGACAGCACAGGTAATAGCATCACAATATACTCCATACTGCCTAGCCAATGCATCCAACAGCTTGCCTGGAAATGAAAGGCGAGTTTAGCTTCTTTGTCTGTTCAGTTCCTGCAGGTCTCTCTGGTGAGATAATGTTGTGATTTTTTAAAAAAAGGTGAACATTATGAGCTACAATGCAGCCCTGAAACACACTTTACTTAGGATATATAGCAAGATTCTCCATCTCTTGGTATCTTCAAATCATTGGATGACTTTCTAGAAAGTGTGTTTGGGTCAAACAAGTTACTGGGCTCAATGCAGAGGTAGCTGGGTGAAATTCCATGACTTGTGATATCCAGGAGGTCAGACTGGAGGATGCAATAGCCCCTCTTTTGGTTCTAAAGTCTACGAATCTATGAGTAAGGCATCAGTAAATGACTATAATACCAGAATATTTTTTTCTTAGAAAAGAATATTTCCTTAAGGGTATTCCCCTGAAGTAACTGCTAGACATGAAGTTAGGGATGTATCTATTCAGCTACAAATAGTCTGCAATCAACTTCGTTTTTTTTTTAAAAACAAAAGGATTCAGTTGCATCAATCCCCATGGAGCTTGCAGGTGTGTCAGGATGGGTTTGTGCAACTTTCTCCCACCACCTGTGGCTTCTCATCTTGATTCGCAGAGTAGCCATCTCTTGTTCTCGCATGTGACTCTCTGATTCCTATCCCTCTCCACCATACGGGGGAAGTTGCACGTGATGCATACTGTGTGGACTTTTCTACTGTAATGGATGTGGTCTGTATATTACAATGTGTGGTCTCTTCAGTCTCTATAATGCCCCTCAACCTCCCCTACAACACATGCCCATCACATCCGCAGTGACACATGTGGAGTTCATAAGCTTAGTGCTAGGGGTAAAGGAAAATGATCAATTCTGTAGATACCAGAATGCATACAAAAATGTATTTTAAGAGAGATCGAATTCCACCAGTAACCCTCCTTTCCCTAACACTAGTATTTGCCAACTACAAGAAATCAGAAACACATTTGGACTTTCTAAATTAAACTGTCCTGGAAGTTTTACAAGGCACAATTACTCAAAATATTGGAGAAATAAAAACTGCTGATTAATTTAGGCTTTGTTTCTTTCAAATGCCTTTGAGACTTTGTCTAACACTTCCCAGGAACTTCTACACCCTGCTAACATAGGATTATCCTTGTGACATGGTAAGGGTTTGTTTGGTGGAGTAAAGGTTTTTTTGGGAAATGTGAATACATCTGTCAACAAAAGGCAAATGTGAACTGAATCCAGCTGACTTCTCTTTTTCTATTTTAAATTACACTGATTCTTTTATAGTGAAGGAGGATATGCATACATTGTCAAATGTGATTTCTTTAAAAAAAATCAGCTTAGCAATATCAGTATAGATATTCAAGAGCTCCCATCTTATAGTCTCCCTTTTTTGTAGTTCCTCCATTAGTTGGCTCTGGGATCAAAGTGGCACTTGGCTGTCTCAATAATTCTGCAGTATGCAAGAACATGACATTGGTTTTGGTTAAGAGGATGATGAGTTGTAGGAAGAGAGAGAACGGCTCTCCCAAGAAAATGGGATATTTTTTTCTGCAGAGGACAGGGTATAGCTGACAGGAGGAAGGAACACATATTCCTTGACAAGCATTGCCTTTAGGACTAACCTAAGGAAATCTGTGTGACCAAGTAACTGGATAATTATGAGCTGTGCTAGCTTCAATTATTACGTTTAAAGGACGATTATTTGGTAGCCTATTACCTTAGTTCAGGTTAGCCTCAAACACCCGCAATGTTATGTCATTTTCCAGGCTGGGATTTTATTTAGCTTTCTCTTTCAAGGCAATTATGGTGTTGCAAGCTTACCTGTCTCTGTTCTTTACCAAAAGGTTTTGTTCGACTCCTTCCATTAGGTTCCTAAAGCACTGGTTAAGGACTTCTCGCTTGCTGTCAGGCTGGCTGGTAATCAAGCTTGCCCTTAATTCACTGAAGTACTGTGATTAGAAGGCAGAAAATACTTGAGAACAAATGTTTTAAACAAAAAAATGGAAGCTACTCACCTACACATGGAGCTGTTTGAGGGACCATTTTTCATTCCCACCCAGTGAGAAGCTTGTGATGGTGCAACCTGGACTGCTAAAGGCTTTTAGCAGCACAACCCACTGAAATGCTCTTGTGCCCCACTCCTTGCAGCTTGGACTGTTTAGAGGGCCAGGCTATAAATGGGGATTCTGGGACACTGACTGCCTCAGTTCCTTCCACCCACTGTCTTCTCTATTTGCAATTAAAAAGAGGACCCCCAAGCAGAGGAGAAGTGGGCAGGGTGTGTAAACGTCCAGAATCCACCTCAAAGAACTCCAGTTATATGGAAGTAACCTTCATTCCTTTGTCCAGTGGCCTCACTTCATATCCCCAAGCAGTACTCCTCCTTCTGGCAAGTAGGAAAAAAAAGGGCCTTATTAAATAGGGATTGCAGTGGTGCTTTACAAGCTGGATATCTGATCTAGAGGCTAGATGTAAGGGATGCTAGTCTGCAGAAGTATGCATTAGGCTTCAGGTGGCAGCTCCACAAGTTTCAGATATGAAAGTATATCTAAGGACCAACCATCGGGATAGCCTCCCTTTCACAGTCTAAGTTTTTCCGGAAGAGAAGCAGATCTGTGTTTGTTTCTTCTCTTCAACATGAAATGTAACCAAGGTGTGAAGCCTACCTTCTTGTGAGTCACAGGGATGCTGAGAAGAAACTAGCAAGTTTATACACTGGTTAAGATGAAATTCTGTTACCGCTTTTCTGCTGCCCGCACAAACACATTCTCTCAAACTAGAAAAGCACAGGATTGGAAGGGACCTCTTGGATCACTGAGTCTGGTTCCCTGCTTCTGCAGGCAACCCATCATACAATCCCTTAGCAAGTTCCATCTAAAAACATTAAGTTTTCTGGCCCTGAGTCCTCAAATTGAAAGGCTGTTTGGAACACAGCCTGTTCCAGAAATTCACTGCTTTGATGATTAGAAACTTTTTTCCACATTTCACGTCTCATTTACTCATTGCCATTTTACACCCACTTATTCTTGTGCTAACACTGTCGGTTCTTCTTTGTCCCTGGTGTTTACCCTAATATATTTTATAGACAGCAATCACATTCCTTCTCAGCCTTCAGACTAAATTATCTCTTTCTAGTAAGATAGGTCCCCCATTTCCCTTGACCACCTTAATAGTTTTTTTCCTGAACCTATTATAGAGCTGAATTAATCTTTCTTGAACACAGGTGATTCTAGAACTGCACACAACTTTTCAGAAGAATTTTCATTAAGTACCTTATAAAATGGCATTGCTACTTTACTATCTGTTGACATACATTGCCTGATATATTCCAAGATCACAATTGCCTTTTACATGGCTATATGGCAAGTGTGGCCTCTCCATATTAGTGGTTCATAGTCATCTGATTAATATACTCAAAGGTTTTCTCCTCTGCTGTTACTTGCAACTTTTTTTACAGCAGAAATTAATCCTTAAAGGGTTTGACTTTGAATTCTGCACTATTACATTTATTTTATTCCAGTTCAAGTCACTGAATTCTTTCTGCATAATATTTTTAGCCTCCCTGTATTGGTGATGTCTCTCACCTTTTTGTCTTCAGCAAATTTCATTATCATATGCCTTTTTTATGCCAAAGATATTAATGACAACTTTACATAGATATTTCAGGATCAATGCTTAATAAACACCATTAGTAGTCCTAATAATTCCCCTTTCAGAACCATCTACTGTTATCTTCCCTTTAAGTCAGTTCTTTACCTGCCTTACAATTCTTCTCCCAGTCCCCATCTTCTCTACTTTAACTAATAAATCCCCTGCAGGACTGTATCAGATGTATTACTGATATGTCAACAGGTCAGATCTACTGCACTTCCCTTGAAGATAATCAATTATCTTCTCAAAGTAAGATAACGGGTTAAGGCGGGCACAATCTTAACTTCGGTAAACCCACACTGCTTTGGTGTATGCTTTTTAATTATTCTGTCCTTCAAAATTTATTCCACTGTCTTACATGCCAATGTGGTCACACTAATGAATCTATAGTTGTATGGACCACCCCACCCCTCTTATATACAGGTATTACATTTGCAATTATCTAGTCATATGGTATGAACTGTAATGTGCTATATTTTGTTAAAAATCCTTGCTACCAGTCTTGCAGTTTCATGTGCCAGTTATCATGAGGCAGAGATTGTCTCAGGCCATGTTTTTAGGCTCAGTTGTATCTGATCTTCCCATGTTTACAGTAATTAGCACCTATGTTCAAATCCAGCTAAAGAGACTGACAAAATTTGGGCTGGGACTGATAGGCTTTCTAATTTTCTTGGGATTGGAGTTGAGGTGTACTGATGAATCCCTGTGTTTCAGAACCCAAGATTTAACTAGTGTTTCTGTACTAACATAGCTTCAAAGGGCATTTTTACATGCGTTTCTGACATGGTGGTGGGTGCTTTCAATTAGCAAGCTGTGCTAATTAAAAACGCCCATGCATCATGTATATCAGCGGCGCAACATGCCTCCGTGCTGAGAAAACGGTGGTGGTGCACTTTGAACTGAAGCACATTGAACATGTTTTAGTTCATTGTGCACTGCCGCCATTTTCTCAGCGTGGAGGTGCACTGTGCTGCTGATACGTGTGATGTGCGAGGCTGCCACAGTGCATCAACTTATGTGCTCCAGCAGACTCGATTAATCAAGTCTGCTCTGATGTGCTGGATTTCCAGTGTGTTGGAGCAGGCTCCCTGCATGTGTTTAAGTGCCCAAAGAGATTCTGATGCTCTTTGTGTCCCCAGCATGATGGTGCTGCATACAGGACAATGAAAAGGTGAATGACCTTTCCCTCAGTAGGCCAAAATGCACATGGGGATGCAAAGTAGGCAAAATGCAGCACGAAAGTATACATGAACCTGCAATTCTTCATCTTTTATTGCAAATTTCAGAACCAAGATCTGCACCAGGGCACTAATATCTTTAGTAAAAATAAAAACAGGATAAAACCCTAAGAAAAATTGAGCTAAATAAAACTTACCTAAACTTTGAACATAACTCTGTGAATGGTCCAGTTTAATCAATCTGGAGCCAAGCACCCAGTTGTTTGGAAACCACTGACGTGGGTTGGCACACTATACTTCCCTTTTATATTCCAATTCTCTCTGCATATTGGGAACATCTACACAAGACGTACTGTGGAGCTGACTAATTAGCTCTGCAGTAAACATCTCAGAACCTATACATGGACCTCTATTAGGGAACACAAAACTAATGAACTCTGCAGCAGAGTAGTACTTGTATTTACAAGTATTACCCTGCTGAGAATTTTTTTTGTGAGCAGCAACACACAAGTAGACACCTACCTGGCTGGCTGGGGCATGATGGTGCTTCAGTGTGAAGGGTGCCTGTCAGCTAGCCCTGCACCAAAGCTCCCTCATGTCCCAGCCAGCCCCCCTGCTGCACATTAAGCCTGGTTGGAGCAACTCTATGCTGGCAGGCTGACCCTTCTGCCAACTTATTCCATGTGCTGCACATGGATAAGCTCCGGAGCCAATTGCTTCAGGGTTAATTACTCGTGGGCACGCCGTTTGAATGGTGTGCCCAGAAGCAAACAACTCTGGAGCTCCACAGTTTATTCATGTGCACTAACTGCATGTGAAGATGTGCCCACTCAGAGACAAGAACAGCTCTAAGTGTTTTACAGACACTACTGTAGAAGGATCTACTCATTTAAGTCCTAACATTGGTGTATCCCAAAACATGCGGACATGCAGAAACACAAGATAAATCTGTTCTTTTAGACCTAGATTTTCAAAGAGGTCTAATAGATGCAGGGGCTTGTACAGATATTGAAAATATACAGAGATCCAAACTGAAATGACTTACCTGTCAAACAATTTTCAAATTAAACATATACAGGTTTCCCTCACCAACCACAGGGGCTAGGTTCCTGAAAGTTCTCGTGGTTGGCAAAACCGTGGTTGGTAACACAAAAGGCTTATGGGAAAAATGGGGTTAGGGACTTGAATATGAATAAGAAAGGAACATACAGTGTATAAAAATCATTTTTATTTACCTTTAGTACAGGGGTTGTCAACTGGGGGTACGCGTACCCCTAGGGGTACTTAGACAGGTCATAGGGGTATGTGTTGGTGGGCAGGGACGGAGCACGCCTGGGGTGCGGTGGCGGGTTCTCCCCCAGTGCGGTCACCTCTTACACAGGGGAGGGGGAAGGGAAGGGATGCACTAGGTGCCGCCGGCCCCGCACAGCACATCGCAGCACCTCCCTGCTCCCACCTGTCTGAATTGTGGCATGGGGGTGTTTTGTGTCTCCCTTCAGCGGTGTGCAATTGGACGGTCAACAGCCCACAGAGCCACAACCAGCCATAGGAAAGTGGCGCGGTGTGCAGTGGTGGCCACATGAGAGCACCCCCCCCTCCCCCCAGCACTGTCACTATGCACAGCCCCAGGAGGGCACGGTTGAGGGGCTGATGGGTGGCCATGGAAAACTGTGGCAACTCAAAACTGTATAATGTGGTAGCCAAAATGGTATAAAGAATATTAAGCGTGGAGACTCAAAACCGTGGTTGGCGAAGGAAACCTGTAAACATCAAAACTACAGTCTTCCTTAATCTTGTCACAAACCCAGAATATTCTGAGGTCTTTATGGAATGTCATGCGTGCTTTCCTGAATTAGGTTACCTGATATAAGGTATTTGTGTTCATAAACAGCTAAAGATAAGCTATGTCTAAGTTTGTTATTTGTATGTTTACATGAGTTACAGTGTTTGATATGGATGTAGTTCTATACCTTTGTATGACAGCCAGTCAAACAGGGTGAATGAGATTATAGAACAGACAGAGGCTATTCACACATAGAGGAATGAAAGCCTAGATGGTTGGGAGAAGTGAATACAAGAGTTTGTATTTACATAGCTATGCATATTGGGTGCCAATGTGAGGTGCCAAGGCCTAACCTAAGCAGGAGAATTTCTTTTTAAGGGAAATAACCTTCTACCCAACAAGTATTTGATTAGAACTGGAAGACTGGACTAGTAATGTTTGTGTCTGAAAGAATGTAAATATTTCTCCAGTCAATAAGTGGGTTAAGTTAAGGTGTCTGACTGGTCAAATGAATAACCTTAGAGGGCTGGAAGTTATACGCATAATATTTGATCTCCAATAATTCTACTGGAGAATGGAATCGACCAGATAAAGGCAAGTATCTCTGTCTGTATTTCAACACATGGTTACTGATTTCTTATGTCTTCCCTTGTTTTTTATAATACATCTTTTTGTTATCTTTTACAGCTTACTTACTGTCAGTGGTAAACGTGATTTCAGAGCATTTGACCATACAGGCAGGCCTCTTCTAAGGTGGGATCTATCATTTCTGAGCACATGACTGGACAAGGGTGTGATTCTTTTAACTGGAAAAATCCCCTCAACTAAGAACTGGCAAGACCTAGGTGAGGCAGATAAAGCTATAGGTCATGGAGGTGGCCCTTGGAATCTCTCAGTCTGTTTTCTGTGGTCAAGCAGCAGATGGCAGGGCTGAAGGGAACATTTTAGGGTTCAAGAATATCCTGAAAGTGTTTCTCAAAGGTGTAGCTGGCTGCATCTGGAGTCAGGGTGCGTCACACTGCTGTCCAAAAATAAACAACCTGGGCACACAGAAGACCTGCAACAGAGTTTAAGGCATAGTTTGGGACTATGCCTGTCCATTGGAAGCACAGAAAGAATATGTGTTTCAAAACCAGACAGGACAGAAATCTTGCACCAAGAGGGGGCAGTTTGTCAAGCAGCCATGTCCAAAATGTTTTACAGCCTTATAGTTTATAATGAAGAGAAAGCCAGGGCAGCTGATGGAAAATCTGTCAATGAACAGCACATGCAGAAGTGAGGCCCCAACATGATAATGGAATAGATTATTCAGGTCAGGTCTAGAATAAAAAAAAAATCTTTCAAGATTTTCCAAGAGTTGGTTTTGTGACCAGTGGTCTCAAGAGGTTTCTTGAAGCTGGCTGTCATGAAGAGAAGCATTGTTAATATCCTTCAGCATATGGGATGGTAAGAAGTTTTTCCTAAAAACTGTCTTCATCAGTTCCAAAATTAATTGTACACACACCTCCAATTAAATGATGAACTTGGTCTATCAGTAACATTGTCTCTCAGGAGTTTCTCTAGACCCTAAAGAAATTGGAGAGGCTTTTTAGGCATCTTCTTCAATAAACTCTTCTTTAAAGCCTGTATTTTGTTTGGTTAAAAGCAAGTAAAAAGGAACTGCTGCTTCAATGTCATAGTGCTGACAGGATTTATTGTAGGTTTGCCTGCCACCAAGAGCCAGAATGACAGTATGTATGCAACTCAGTGCATCCCTGGTGTAGTTACTGGAGTGAGGTAACAATGCAACAAGCTATTTTTGAACTGCCCCACACTGCTCTGGGGAGGGCTGTTTCAGAGGTGAGATAAAATTACTGATTCACCATCTTTCCAGGGGAGGCTCCTAGTAGTGCTGCTGTGGCACCTAGAATGCATTTCCCACTCCAGCACAGCCACCCCTGTTGATACAAGCACATGCCAACTGCAGTCATCTGCATCCATGGGACAAATGTGTTCCCTTATACTTGAGCTGAATTATGTGGCTGATTTAAGAGCGGAGAAGCTCCATCGAAAATGGAACAAGTTGCCCAAGCAGAGAAACTGCAGCATGAGTGACTACCATGGTTGCTGGCCATCAGTAACTGTAGCAACAGCAACCATGTCTTGAATTAAGGGAATCAATTTTCAATTAGTAGTCTATCTTTGTGCTGGAATGAGTTAAGATAATTTCTGCAGCTACAGAACTACAGCTATATTTTCTATAGCCCTCCACAACAGAGCCTGGAGGTACAGAGGGTGAAGGCAATCTAAGGGGGTCTTCACATCTTATATATCCTCAGAACAAAACCTTCCTGAAAAGTGACTGGACAGAAGTCATTACCTTCCTCTACCTTTCAAAAGGGAAGGTAACATAACTGAGTTGCTACTAAGTAAAGGTGCCCACAACAGACACCCTTTTGCAAGCAAAATCCATGGTCATTAGAAATAGTCTAATTTCAGCAGAAAGAATAGTTTGCTAGTTGCACATTGATTCCTTATGATTCACAACTGCAAGATTTTATCTTCAAGTGAAATATTTAATTTTTTCTTACTCTAAAGCAGCTAACATCAAAAACACATAATTAATATGTAGTCAGGCTAATACTTAAATGCTATAAATCAGAAGCATTATATAAACAAAAGTGTCATCTCGAACAAGATTGGGAATGCACAAAACTACTTATTTCCCACTTTTATAATGATGCAGTGACTCAGAGCAGATAGAAAATGATTAGTTTTCCTCCCAAAGTAGGAAATATTGCTTCCATCTGTAAAGTATAATATTGTGATGTCATAAACTTTTTCTAAACACTGAATTTGCCCTTATTCCCTCTCAATCATTTTAAAAGAACTGCTCTCTCTTATAGAGCTTGGATTTAAATCACAATAACACACCAAGAAGATGAATGACAGTGCTATTGGATATGGCTAAAATTGGATCCTTCAGCACAGGTGAATGATGAGACAGCGCTTCTCTTCTTGATATATTTTCTTCTTCTATTAGTTTCCTTCCATAGCTGGGATTTCAGTTTGAATTTTAATGTATGCGGCTGCCGCTAATCTTAGTGTCTTATTTTTTCCCAGCACCCTCTTATTGTATAGACAATTCATTCTCTAAAGCAGTAATACACTGCCACTTGTGACTGCCCACGAGATAAAGCAATTCAGAATAAAGTTAGAACTAGCTGTGAAGTATGGAGAATACTACAGGTCAATATCTTCAGCAGCAATGCCTGGCCATATGGAGCAAACTGCCCATATTTAGACTGGCTCACATGAATTTGCTAAAATTATTTCCTTTTCAGACAACTGTCTGTATCATTGGCTCTTAAACCTTTTTAGGCTGCATGTCCCTTTTCAAATTTATTATGGTGATGAGCACTCTTATGGTGTTGGGCTACGGACACTGTAATCTCTCTAACAACAAAAGAAATATTGAAAAGCTATTCTTTGATATTTTTTCCTTCCATTTATATTTCCCTTTCCTTTCTTCTGCTTTCCCTGTCCTTCCTCTCATGTACCTTCTAGAAATTTATCACATAGCCCTGTTTGAAAAACACTGGTCCACAGTAATCTACACAGAGCATACTGAAATTCATAGTTTTAGATCTTCCAGAAGGAACAAACTGGAGAATGCATTCTAGTCTAGGTTATCAGCCTGCAAACAGATGATCTGAACCTTAGGAAATACATCTAATAGTTACGATTTATACAGTTCAGAGAAAGTCCCAAAAGAGCAGTTGCTTTTGTGAATCTTTCTGGAAGAACTGAATTAGAATAACTAAATTAGAATAACTGGAAGAACTGTTTTTTTTGCTAGATTTCCTATCTATGGCCTTGCTTAAGTCGAGCGGGAATTGAATTTCTGTGTTTGTAGTTTCTATGTCCAATCTAAGGCTGGAAGGGCAGAGTTGCAAAACTTAACGAAAAGGTGAATTGTATTTTTGTGATTCTTAAGTTGCATTTGAATTTTTGGCTGTAAGTTTGAGTGGATTCTTCCATCAAGCAAACTAGGTTATTCACCTTTTGTGAAACAAGCTGTCATACACACATATAGCTATGGGCTAGATACCATCCTTCTATCTTTCTGTGGAATAACTGCTAAGTAACTTCAATTTTGAGATTAGAAATGTGGGATTCTATGAGCAGTGGTCCCACTCATGTAGGACAAGAAGGGGTCATGGAAACCTGTGAGAACAAGGACCCATGGCTTCATATTTATCCTACTCAGTACAGACACTTGTAGATGCTTTAATGTTTTCAAGACAAAATGTTCCTTGCTATAATTTGTAAAGGCAGAGAAAACCCTTTGGCTATCCGTGAACAAACATAACTGTGTTCAATAAAGCACATGTTAATTATTGAGCAAATATAGTAAATAGAAAGAGGAAATATAACAAAATATGACTACTGTTAGATTTGTAATCTCCTAAAACTGTACTGAAAGGGATGATGCTATATTATTTATTCCTCCAAATTCATGTTTTGTTACCAAGAGATAGTAACAGTCTGGCAAAGGGTTAATACAGGTGTTTAAAATGATCAGTGAACAGAAAGGTTTTAATTTTGTTTTTGCTGGAGTTAGAACTTCCCCTGCATAATTAACAATCCAGACACTCTGGAAGCTGATACATAAAAAAAGCAGAAATTGGGTGGACATCCAAACTGGTTTCACTACCCAGGCTGAAGGAAGTGAATGAATTAAATAAATAGTATGAATGGTAATAATTAAATTACGTTAAAAATACATTCTAAATATCCAAGTAAGATGTATATACTATTTATCTTGGTAGTGTTCCTCTTGAGCTTCTCATCAGCTTAATTTATTATAAACATTTGAGCAGAAACAATATTGAGCACATACTGAGTGAAGCTGGTAGCATTTCGGTAATACTCACCTTCTCATTAAGTAGTATAAGTCCTAGCAGTGGTCTTGACACAGACCATTGGTTTCTGCAGTCTTCAAAAATGATGGTGTTCATCAGAATTGACATCATCTGGAAGAAATAACATATTTCACATTAATTTGCGTATTTGACTTTATTGCATATCCAGCCTCTTCTTGAAAACCTCCAATGGAGGACCTTCCAAAACTTTCCTGGGCAGCTTGTTTCACTGCTCTGCCAGTAGAGAAGTTTCGTCTGAGATTTAATATAGATCTACTTTGGTGCAGTTTTAAGTCACTACTTTGTGTCCTGCTCTCTGCAGCAAGGGAGAGCAGCTGCTCTCCTTCATGGCAGTTTTTCAAATATTAGAAAACTGCTATCACGTTTCCCCTTTTGTCTGCTTTTCTCCAAAGCTGTGTAGAGTGTGATGGACTACTTCAGCACATTCAACGTAGGGCTGGGTTTTTACTACTACTAAAATTCTCTAAACTAGATGGAAAATGGCTAAACCATACCTATGCTTCGCATTCTGCATTAGTTCCAACTATTTTGAGGTACCACTGATGGTTCTGGTTTTAACCTTGAATAGGTTACCTTTGTTACCTCAGAGGCCACTTCTTTTCTCAACTTAGCACAGAACTTGTCATCAATGGAGGCATCTAAAATAGATCTCTGCTTCTGTAAAGACAATCTGATTCAGCAAAGAGTCAGGGGATCTAGGTACTGATTGGTACTGGTTATTTTGGCTTCTGGCTTTGAACCTAGGAAAGGAGATTTCCTTAGCTACCTAACCTGTCTAGTGGAAGAACAGTATTTACTCACCTTTATAAAGGACTTTGAGAGTTATGAATATAAACTGTTCAGCACTGGTACCTTTAACTAAGAAACGATTGGAAACGACATTTGCAGTGTGTGAACCTCAGCTCTGGGATTCACTTCCCTCTTGGTTTGTCAGAGCCAGTCATCAGTAATTTTGCAAGGGTTATTAGCACTGTCAGTTCTTTTCTGGCCTGGCTACAAATGCTGTTAATGCTGCAGGCTATTACTACAAGGGCGTTCCAGAAACTAACAGCAATTTTGAAGTAAAAGCATTCTCTGTCCAACGATCATTTATTGGACCACATCACTTATCTACATAGTTGCTCTGCTTTGCAACACAGTTATTCCAGTGAGTCACAAGTTTCTTGATATCACCTTCAAATAAGCTTTTTGGTGCTGTGGCAGCTACTCCTGCACTGTTAGTTGCATCTCTACATCACTGCAAATCTACCCATGGGGAGCTCTCTTCAGTGGTCCAAACAAGTGACAATTATTTGGTACACGATCCGTACTGTAGGGCGGATGGGATAAGATTTCAAATTCAGTAGGAGAGAGCTGGGAGCTCTTACTATTGGGCACAGAGTTATAATAGGTATACAGCATTAATAGAGATTGTACATGCACCCAGCACACTGGGTTGGCAGAACCTTCATAAACTGAAATAAATAGAAAATAAAATGCCTCATAGTGTCTTAGAAACACATTATATAGCTCAAAATGCTATGGGGCGCAACCCACATGAATCTAAAAGGTCTCTGTTTGGGATTAAATAGACTGAAAATTTGTAAAATGTCACCAGCAAAGAACTTGACTCACATCTGTAAAAATATCTACCAGCCCTAAAACCAAACACATGAGGAGAATGTGGAAAATCATTAAATCATTTCTTCTAGGCCAATGAGTAGGTAGGAACAGAGTCCCCAGAGAGCTGCCACACTGCAAACCAGCCTGTAATAACTGACCAAGTCTAAGTCAAACAACATGTTTCACTAAATGAAAAAGATGGATCCCTGCACTACAAATCACTTGGAACACAGATATCCAAAAATTATATGAAACTCTCAAGTTAGTATTGCATGGTCTGATGTGGGAAAGCCAAGCTCTTCAACTTGCTTTAATTGATAGGATTTTATTCTATAACAGCTAATCACATATTTAGCATACTCAAAAAGTGAAGTACATAAACGCAGAGACAGTACTAAATAATAAAATAGTTACTTTGCCACAGAATTGACACATCCCTAAAAAAAAAAAAATCAACAACTTTTAATCGAGCATTTGGCTGTCCATGCATGCAGCAAACTACTTTTCAGTTAATGCAAACAACAAGAATCCACAGTGGAAGTAATAACAGAGACTTCCAGATTCAGAGAAGTTTAGAGCTGGAAGGGACCTCGTGAGATCATCGGGTCCAGCTCCCCTGCTCTAGGCAGGAAGGATCCTGACCCTGAAACATGAATATGATTCTTTAAAACTCTATAGTACCTTTTATTTGGTAATCTTAGAGCAAGTCTCTTGAAAGTACATGGGCATTTTTCATTTGTTGGGATGCAATTAGTCAAACAGGAGCTTGGCCTAGACACCAGGACTGACACATTTCTATTTCTCACAAAAAATGCCATGGGATATTTCATGGCTGTAAATAGGCAGGCTTTCAGTTTGAAGCCTAATTTGAAAGATGGCACACCTACAGCAGAGTTTATTCTCCTACTAGACCTAGGGTAATGGTTCAAGAGTGATTCTGAAGTGTGATTCTGCCACCTATTTCATCTCCAACTCCCACTCCAAAAACTTGTGGGAATTCCTTTCAGGTTTTCAGTCCTATGTTGGTACAGAATATGAAGTGGAAGGCAGAGTGCATATATTTTGGTCAAAATCAGAAAAAAGATGCTCAGACCTGAAGAAAGGAAAAAATGCAAAGTACAAATAATACTCAAACAAAGCAAGCTATGAAAGTTACTGGTCTTGAAAAATAAAGGCGTATATAAGCAGAAATCCTGATATAGCAGAAGCCCCATGACCAACAAAGGGGACTCTTGAGTAAATGGCTTATCTCAGCAAAAAGGAAGTAAGGAAAGCTTCCCTTCCAGGTTCAAGCATTTCCTCTGACAGAGCTCCAACAATTTAAGTATTGTTTTCACTTCTGACTGGCTGGGTTAGAGAAAAAATAAAACTTTTTAGAAGTTCTCATGAACAGAGGGAAATAGCTCAGTAGTCAAAATGGTAAGTAGTTCTCATATAATAGTAAAACATATGTATAGCTTCACCATACACTGACTAGTAAGTTTGAGACCACTGGCTCTTTTTTTCAGACAGTATATGCATCACTAATTTTGTGTGTGGGGGGGAGGCTTTATTCTAAACTACTCCATCTTTCCTGAGGGCACTTAGGTCCCTGAGGAACTGAAACACCTTGGGCATGTCTACAAGAAATGCTGACTGTGCAGTTGCCTGATACTACTGTGCAGTAGCAAAAGCTGTGATGCAACGCAACTGCACAGTAGTATTAGGCACAGTAGCTTCAAAAGAAAGGTGTTCGCCAGTGCTACTGTCCATTACCTTGGGTTACTGCACCTTTATCTAGACAAGTGCTAAATAAAAGGCGCAGTAACCACCGCGTAGTAGCATCTCGTGTAGACATGGCCCTTGAGTACCTGAAGAAGGCAGTGAATTGATGAGCTCACTTCTTTATACTATATTATTGGAATAATTTCTGTGTACATATTTCTATTTATGTGTATGGAAATAAATTAATCACAATTTCCTTATAATACAAGTAGCGTTTTGTGTTACTGGTGTTATAAAAACATAGTTAGAGGAAGCAGAAAGTACTTACTTCAAATAGAGCAACTCACTAATCCTTTCAGTTACATACACTAATTTTTGGTTGGTTACTAATCACTACTCCAGAACTGAGTTCCAAATAAAATATTTTTTTGGCAAGACCAAGGTATGGAAGAATGTAAATGGGGCGTCCACAAAGAATAAATAGTAGTAATAACAACCCCTCTTTGCATGTTTATGGCACAGCTCACTTGAGAACTGTAAAGCTTTTTTCAGATATGGACGGACTGCAAAACAATGTCAGTTCTATGTTTCCATTTTGCAGATCAGTTAACTGCAGAGTGAAGTTTATATGATTTGGTATCACAAAATAACATTTCCAAAGCTAGAACAGGAACCAGCAGAGCCAAGCAAGATTTTTTTTTCAACAAAACATACCAATTTGTGGATATCCAAACATTCTTCCAGCAAAATGGTCCCTTGGGTTCTTGATGGCATTTCTGGTATGGTGACCCTAAAATACCAAACAGCTCAGCGTTTCCCAAACTTTGTGGGCTTAAGTCCCAACATAGTGAAGTTGGACACTCCTGCACCCTTCCCTACTTCAACCACTGCCACCAGTTCCCCTTGCTGCCAATTCCCCTTGCCAGTGGTAATTGCGGATAAGCAGAGGAGACAGCAGGGGAAGTGGTGGTGGTGGAGAAATAGATGGGGTACTGGCAACTGCTGCTGTGATTCACATGTGGCCCCCTTAGGAACCTTTTGCAACGCAGGGAGGCGTATCCTATAGCTTGGTTAATTCTGTTATAACTGACTCTGTCCCTCATGCATTAATAGGTTTTTATTCTATAGTAATCTATAGCAACTAACAACATTTTTACATGCTTAAAAAGCAAATTATGCAAATATACAGAGACACCACTATATAATAGAACAGTATACTTTGCCATGGACACATCCCTGAAAAATCAACAGCTTTTAGTCAAGCATTTAGCTGCTAAGAAAGTTTCTTTTCCCATTCAGACTTGAAAAAAACATTCAGATTTAGGAGCATTATAACACAAGTTTTGGTGGGATTCTGCAGTTTTGACTCACAGGAGCTACCTCCTGATTTAGGAACATGATTACTAATTTATAGGGCTGTGTGAGGCTTTGGATCGCGCTTCGAACTCTTTGGCCCAAAGCGAAGTCTGGGCTCGTTTAAGTTGTCCGAAGCAGTTCAATGCTTCCAAACCATTCAGAAATGCTTCAGACACTTCAGGTGAAAGTTAGAAGAGGGAGGGGGAATGGAGGAGGAAGGGAGAGTTGGGGGGGAAGACTGATGTGTAGGTGGCCAGTGAGAAGGATTTCTCTCTGGCTGCCTTTCCAATGACAGTGTCTTGGGGGAGGGACCTAGAAACAGCATAAAAGCCTCTGCTTGGAGGCATGCTGTGCCTTTTGCTAGTGAGTGAGAAAGGTATCCTAGCAGACTCAAGCATCTCAGCTTGGTTACTTTACTCAGTAGTTGA